GTGGTTCCGATCAACAATTTTTTATGTGACTTTAAATGGACTACCTTAAATACAATAAACAGAATACTAACACAAAAGGAGAGGTGTGTTTTAAGGGGCTACTAATATAACTAAAGAACCAGATTCTTCAGTTACTAAGTAATAAACATGTTTTCTCATACTCTTGCTGATACACAGGGCCATCGCTCCATTTTCATCCCCACAGCTGTCATGGATGCTAAGGAAATAAGAGAGACGGGGTGCTCCTTTGAAATAAAATTAACCTCCTCTTTTTCAGACAGGGATTAAAGTAGGAGGTGCCTTGAATTGGTCTGAGTCCCCTTGCCAGCCTGCAAAAACTAGGAAAACCAACATGCCCTGCTGAGCATCTCTTGGAGAGTCAGCACTTACAGATCAGTGGTATATTCAGGAAGGTGACTGGGTAATCGAGTGAGTTTTTGGTTAGAGCAGTCTACAATCGTTCCCTCGCAGCGACACTTCTCGGGACAGACAAGGTCCATGAAACACTTCCCAGTGAATTTACTTCTGTAATCCTCTGACCCTGCAAGAAAAGGGAAATAAATTACAGCAAATGGTTCCTGATAGCTGCAGCAATCCAAGATTTTATGGAACTTATTCTCAAGGCTGCCTCCCGCACACAATTTTAATACTTGCCAAAGACTTTTTTTCAGCAGTTTTTCAAATTACTCCCAAGACCAGTCTCTGGTTTTTTTCCTTCTTCCCTTGATAGACTAATATCTTGTCTAACAAGTCTACCTGTACAAGTACTTCTTGAAGCACATCTAATTAGCTGTTGGAGCCTGCTTCAAATGAGCTCCAGTAAAGTCACTTTTTTCCCATTTGGAACTTAGTCCAATAACAAGGAAAAGGGATCACATGAAAACAGGAGCTACCTTGGTGAGTTCAAATGGCAAAGGATTTTTAAAGATGTCATTAAAAAGCTGAAAATTTTCAGACCTCAGCTATTAGAGTTATTTTTGAGAGCAACCTTTTATGAGAGAACCTTGTCAATTTTCCAACAATTAGATCCCTTTATTAACTAGGTTAAACAAACAGCAAAGGAAAGTAATGGCAGTTTAAATCATTTTCATTTTAATTAAGGAATGGGTAGACCATGCTTAGTGAGAAGCACTCCCTAATGCACCATTATACCATGCTCGCCAGACCTGTTAGACTAGGTTTTTGACCCATTCTAATGAAATGCTTTTCCAATTAGGCTGAATGAACTAATCTGTCCTTTACAGGTTTGGTTTTCCTCTTCTAATAACAGCAGGCTGGAAACTTGATCTCTGTGCTTCAAGGAACCAGGAGTATTAATAAATGTGTACGTAAGCAAAGTGTTGCCAAGTCCCCGCTCACTTCATATTTCATAACGGAAGCACTAGAATTGTCTCAGGAACCCTGCGCAATGCCCAGTGATCACAGCTACCGAGAAGTATTTTTAAACTTATTTAAAAGTCAACTGCAAGGCTTCCTCAGGAATGACCTGATCAAGTTCATTTCTTAAGAACCTGAAAACATCAAGAAAAAACTTGAACCTGAGCTAAAATTTGATTTTAGAGACTTGATGACGTTCATCACCTGCTTCCCCTTCCCAGACTGATAAATACACCACTGCTCACTTTATGACCACATACTATTTTCTGTAAGAAAAAAGAAATCACGTAAACCCACTATTATTTTAATTTATGTTACACGTTACCTTCTCAGGGCAATGCAAGCAATTCTGCAGGCAATATAACATTTTGATTCCACAGACACAGGTTAGTTTTACAATTCCGAACTAGATTACGAGAAATATCACATACAGCTTCATACATTACCGCTTCTGTGGTGCTAAATACTTCACAGGTTACCACGCTTATTGTAAATTATACATATAAAGTGAGACTTTGCTGCTGTTTTATAGCTTGACAGCACATTGCTTAAAATATTAGGACCATTGGGCATTTTGAAATATTATAAAAATACAGTCTAAGCCTTTCCTCACACCACCACCATTTAAACTTCTACGCTTTAAAAAACTCAAACATCTGATTTCCGGTCCTAAAAATTCTAGGCTTGGTAGTCAGGTGATGGCTTGATTATAAGTTCATACAGCTATTCTTTCTTAGGTGTATGAGACAGTACATTTGGTTGTTTATGCTTTCTTGGAAATAACGCCAAACATGAATAGTTATCAGGACCAGAGTTTATTAAAGTTGCTACAATTAAAGTACACCTTGAAAAACCTACCACAGATTTTGAATGATCAGAAAGCGTCTTGAAAATCCTCAAATGAACCCATGAAGAAGCACTTCTAATTTTCATTGTGAAAATTTTCTTGGACCGAATAATGACAAACGTCACAAAGTTATACAGGATAAAAATTTATTAAATATAATTTTTAGTCAATTGATGGATACAAGATTTATCTTGCTATGGGAAAAAAAGGTTGGGAAAGTAAGTGGATTGCTTTATGAAGGAGAAAGAGAGGTATGTAACATTAGACCGCAAAAATCAGTTTTTGTTTTTTCTCTCGGGCTTTCTGGCAAAGTAAATAAGGAATATTTACCACCTTTTGACTTGGCAGTCTCACCTTCTTGATGGCAAACGACTTTCCACACTGCATCAGCTACAAGAAGTCGATCCTGCCTGAGCATCAGTCTGCTGCCTCCAGGTTTGCAACAGGGGAAACCCTCATCAGGAGGGGAAGGGAGAAAACATCACCTTCTTGCTTTTCTTTTTCGCTCTCTTGCACTTTCTCCCCTCCCCCCCTTTTTTTTTTCCTAAATGAGTTTAAATAAGAGTTACGCAGGTAGGCACCGAGTCAAAAGCAATCAATAGCGTGTATATGCTCAGCAAGCGTGCAGTCATCCGTTAGCCTGTGATAAAGAAGGAACCACCTGCCAAAGACTGGATAAAATTTACTATTTGACCTGAGCCTCGAGATCACTTGGGCAGGTGGCTGCTCTATTAAGATATTCCCATCTGGGATACTAATGTGAAATTCAGCCATCTGCTTGCGGAAGTATTTAACTGTGTGTATCCATTTCTACATGCAGGGCTTGATCAGCTGCTGCAGGGCTCCGAGCGAACACGACAGGACTCCGGAAGCACAATTAACCATCCCATGTGTGTAGGACTTCTCGCACACTATAAAATCTCCCGTGGAAAGCCATGGAAAAGGGATGCAGGATAGGCACAGAAGAAACACTTGCCTTGATTTTACTATTCCAGACCAGCCATTTGGTCATTTTATTATACCTGAAAGCACCTGTGCACTGTAGCTGAGAACTCTGTGAAGCCTGTCTGAATGTAAAACATGACCTGGGAGTTTTTAGTAATTTCTAAAATAAAAAGAATTAAGTGAAAATGAGTAGCCAAGGCAACATCAAGGCCTGTGTTTAACTGAGGCAATTGGGTCTACCTGAATTGCTAGCTCCTCCAATAACATTTTAATTTCACAACCTGTGTGACACCACTATTGGGTACCAGGGTATCGCAATTCCTCAGTACCACAAACCAAACGCACACATCATTCTACAAAACAGCAGTACTGAGTTAAAGAAACACCACATTTCCAAGTGCTCAAAAATTTCTGGTGCTTTTCTAATATTCACATGGAGAAATTAGGCAACAGAGACAGAAACAGCGTTTTGTCTTGTTCTTAATCAGTTTAGCAAACCTGATGTCAAGTTTTTAAAACTTAACTTTGCCCAAAGGGCTTAAAATGAACATTGGATGATCTGTTCCAGAAAAATATATCAAGCTGTCTCAGCAGGGGCTTCAATACTTACATGATATATTCATTCTAGAAAAGATGGATCCTGCTGCCTCAAATTTGGCACCAAAACTATAATCACAGAGAACACTTGGTCTAAAACTTGGACAAAACCCCCAGAAATCCCAACACTCACTTCTTCATGTAACCACTAGACCACAATTCTTACAGGTTTTCAGAAAAAAAAAAGGAGGTTCATTGTCATAATTCCACATCACTAGTATTAATTCTTATCAGTAATTACAGATATAATCGAAGAAGCTCAGATGTCCTTCTTCTGATGGCTCCACAACAGGTATGTGGCAAATTGGCAAGATGAGCCACTATTTCTGTATAAGAAAAACTTCTGTATGAGTCTCTCAGAGTCTTTCATGAATATAATTATCTCTGCCTTACATAGGGGGCATTTCAAGAGATAACGCTTTGCAGACTCTTCTGAAGTCCTTTTGCAGTAGACTTTACAACGCAATTCCAGCGCATTAAGATTGGTCAGATCAGGTCCAAAGATACATTAAGCAGGAGGCATCTTGTAACATCCCAAGTGTACCTCAAGCAGAAGGACTCACTGGTCAGTTCAGAGAGACGTAGCCTACGTTATTTGTAAGGTATAAGACAAAATCGATTTTTCATCTCTGTAAGTATGGCTGGAATCACCCCTGAATCATATTAATCAACAGGTTGCCTAACTTCTTCATTATAAGAGCAATTAAACAGATTAATTACTTAGAAATGGTTATTCTGCATGCAAGCCCTCTGGAAAGTCTGTCGCAAACATCACTGGGGCTCCCACGCCCACTGCCCAGGAGTCTGGTTAAGCAACACTTCACTTGTTTCATTTTTCCTGTGAGAAAAGGGGAATCTCTCACCTTTTGATGCTTCTGAAAACAGCAGAAGTATCCCAGCATGCCATGCGGCAGGGAGTATGCAGCCTTCCATGGTGCTTGACAGAACCATGTTCAATTTGTATTGTTCTACCACATGGTTAGATCAAGCACAAAGGAAAACCCCATGAACAGCCAGAGTCAGAGTTAGGCAGCGCCAAAGAGAGAAGAGCGTTGAGAGGAAGCAGCATGGAGAAGCACAAGCTGAAGGTTCACGGAGAGCTGCTCTCCACTCCACCCATGCAAAAAGGTGCCGGATACAAGAGGTCATCCTTTATGCTACAACTGCAGGAACACCCTGGAGCACAAGTGGTGTTAGTGTACAAGAACAGAGCCCAGGCGAATCAGAGACAGAACTACCACAGAAGAAAATATTGCCCAAGGACCACAAACAGCTCCTTCCAGGAAGCACGTGCAACTTCCACCACGTAGCGAACGCCCAATCTACGCTGTTGTTTATTAGCTACTTACTCTCTCCAGGTGTCTTATTTCAGGACAAATACCATATTGGTTTGCTCCATTTATTTAAATGCCACCTTAGAAATACTGCAGCTCAGTAATGGCAGGTTCTGAGCTGATGGCCAAGCTCTGGCATTAAATGCTCCCCAAGCTCCCTTTGAGTCTGATTTCAGTTCCCAGCGGCCTTTCATGCTGGTGGCACTTCAAATGTCAATCTGTAAATACTGCTGCTTCTCTTTTTCTTTTATATTTTATTTCTTTCAAGTGCACTTTACAGCAAGGTAGCAGACACACGCTACTACAGACATATTAAGGCAAAATAGGGACATTTTGTTATGCTGTTTCTTAGCTTAATATTCGTTAGGCTTTGTACATCATTTGCTAATGTCTCTTTTCGACATCCTGGCTACTTCAGCCAGCTTCTTGTAACTCATTCCT